TGTTTCTTGTATTTTGTTATGCTGAGGTTTGAACCCAGGGCCTGTCTAAAGTTAGGCGAACACTCTACTGACTAAGCTACATCTCATTCTTTGCTTTTTGACTCTGTCTTATTTTGTGTAGCCCAGGGCTTTAAACCATGATCCTCCTGCTTTGACCTACCCTAAGTCCTGGCATTACAGATGTGTACCAGTGCACCTAGCTGTGATTTCTGTGTCATTCTCCATTTAGGGTTCCTTAGGGTGCATTTGGGCCGTATGACCCAATGCAGTGTATTGTCTTGGGCCATGGCCCATCCTGTGCTGTTCATAATTCCACAGCTTCAGAGGGTTCTCTGGAGAAGACTCTTAGGAGATGAGCTTCATTGTGGAAAGAGGGTTGTTTCCTACCCAGAATTCTTTGGAGCATTTTATTGAAGGGACTGGCTTCCCATTTCGGCAGCCATAAGAGCTTGTCTGACCTTGTCTTAGTCACTAAGGTCAGATGCCTGCCCCTGTCGGCAGCCATAACAGCTGAACCTTGTTTGACCTTGTCCCAGTCACTAGAAAGTCAGATCCCTGCCTCGTGGCAAGGAACCAATCAGAAATTAGCTGGTGGCACTATGTTTTACAGCTCTGGGTGTGCTTGACGGACAAGTGCACAGCAATGATGCACGGAGCATAGCAACCACTCTGGGAGGGCCTATGGGCCATAACAACCAGTTGGCCAATCAACACAGGGCAAGCCCTCAAAGCCTAGAGGCACACCAATCCTGAGCCTGTGCGTACCCCTAGACACTCCCCTTATGCTGCCCTACAAGATCTCTAGGCAGCCCCTAGGAGCTGTCTTCCTAGCCATCCGCCATGGCGGGTTGGTGAAAGACCCGAGCTAACATGGGGTTAGCTCGTTAAAAACAATAAAGCCTCATGCAGTTTGCATAAGCTCTCGAATCTGCCTGGTGATTGGGGGTGACCTCAGTTGTGGCCTGGGACCCCGGATACCTGAGTTTTTCCGGGGGTCTAACATTATAAGGAAAAGAGCATGAGGGTTTGTAACGCTCTCTATAAGATTAAAACATGGCTGCTTCCACCTGAAAACCCTGTGGATGAGGAAAGATATCTTCATTCATAGTATCTGTTGTTGAGAATTGTCCTCTAGACCAGCAGCCATTTTGAAGATTTACGTTGAAGTTCAGAGGACAAAGATAGCTGTAAACAAGCATAAACACTACCTCATTACAGATGTCATAATAATATCTCCAATTGCAGTGAGGGGACTTGCCCCCTCTTCTGCCTAGAGATGGGATAACTTCAGCTCATGAACACCATTCAAATCAAATACTGCTCTGACAACTCCAGGACTGTAATGGACTAGCTGCAACCATGGAAGGAAGGATAGCTATTTCAACTATTTCAACGTGAATTCTAGCAACAGCACTGGGGCACTTTAAAGGACTTTGAAAGTGGTAGGCACTGCAGGGGCATTTTTTTTGGGGGGGGCATCAGTACAGAAAGACCAAGGGTAATGGTAGGAAAAGACCCTGTGGAGACATTAAATACAAGTATGACACATATATTTTCCTTGGGTGAAGTGGGATGGTTCCCCCAGAGACCCAAGTGTTAGTAAAACTAATGGAGTTAGTAAAACCTTCTGAAACACCATTTTGTGAGGAGCCATTTGCATGCTGAAGCTGGTTTTAGGAGTACACAGCCCATGCTGCTCATAGGGAGTCAGGGAACTGTATTCTGCCTGAGTTTGTTTGTTTGTTTGTTTATTTATTTATTTATTTATTTATTTATTTATTTATTTATTTATTGTGAGTGTCAGAGCAAAAAGGAACCTATAGAGGAACTTTTGAGCACATGATTTGAAATAAAAGGGACAACATTTTGTCTGGCAATCAATGGGTTTCTTTGGTCAGCCCTAGACTACTCAAGAAAAGACTATTTTCTCACTTGTGATAGAACTGTGAAGGGCTTTCCCCTCCTCTTGAATTAGAGTAATTTCATATGAAAGTGTCGTGGTTAACCTTGACTGTTGATGTAACTGAGTTTAGAATAACCATGGAAACATATCTCTGGGTGTATCTATGAGGGTGTTTCTAGAAAGGTTTGAGCAGGGAAGACCCATAGTATCATGGGTTAAGGACCCACTGTGGGCATGGGTGACACCATTCATGGGGTAGGCTTTTGCACTGATTGAAAGGAGCTAACCATAGGTGTTCATGTCCCTCCTTCCTGACTGCAGATTCGTTGTGACTGGCTGCCTCCTACTCCTGCTGTCATGCCTCCCCCAATATGATGGATTGCATCATCAAACTATGAGGCAAAATGAATCCTTTTCCCCTTGTTTGTTGGGTATTATGTCACAGTAATTTGAAAAGTAACTAACAAAAGAAAACCACTTTTTTTTTCAGTTTGTTGATAACAGTGTAGACAAGAAGCTGAAGTTGTGCTTGAGGGCACTTCCAAATTGGAAACGTGGACACCAGTTCCCAGCTAGCTGTGGCAGCCCTTAATCTGCTTAAGGCATTTTATGTTTAAAATGTGTATATTTATTTTAATTGACACACAGTAGTTGTCCATATTTTAGACATACACTGTTAATGCAGTACATATGTGTATATGATATCAGATCAGGTTAATTAACATTTCATTTTAAAAACATCTTTGTATGTGAGTGTGACCCTTCTCTTTTCTATTTCCTTATAGAATATATAAGTGGTATTTTTTGTATTCTCATTGCAATACACAGAACATTGGTACTTTTTTTTTTATTACTTATTTTCGTGCAATGTCCCGATATCCTCCTTGTTCCTTGCTCATCTTAGCCTCTAGTAACCATTGTTATAGTTTCCAATGTCAGGAAATCAATTCCATAAGCTTCTGCATATGAAAGAGAATACATGGTATTTTTTGTTCTCTTCATATTACACTAAACATAATGTTCCATCCAAATGCCAGGGTTTCATCCTTTTATACTGCTGAGTAATATTCCATTTCATATGTATAACAGAATTTCTTTATCCATTCATCCATTTATAGACTATTTTGTTCGTTCTACATATTGGCCATGACTGATAGTCTGATAGTGTTTTAGTAAACATGGGAGTTCATATATCTTTTCATTATATGGATTTAATTTCTTTTCAATACATACCCAGTATTGAATCACATGAGAGTTCTTTCTTCCCTCTTTACTAAATATTTTTAGTTAGCATATAGGTAATGAATATTTTATACACACATATCATTGCACTTTTTTTGGTGTAATGGTAGTAGTTTTTGTTTTGTTTTTGAGGAAGCTTCATACCATTCTCCATCACGGATATGCTAGTTTATATTTCACAAGGTTCTCAATACTCTAAATAGTAGAGGAGATCTTTAGGTGGCTCAAAGGATGACGATTTTAGGTTATGCCTTTAGTTTCCCATGTCTCAGTGTTCCATTATCCACACAGAGGGCAGAAGAGTTCTTGAGAGGCTGTGCTGACCCCCAGTGAATACAGTGGGCCCCCAAATCCAGCAGACCATGCCACTCACACATCCTTCAACATGACTTCTTGGTACTGTGGCAAATGAAATGTCATTGACTTCAGTACCATTTTCCCTTGAGCAGAACTGAGGGAATAGAACTGGGATAATATCAACTTCTTGCACCCAAGGTCATCAGTGAACTGGTGATGTGCTTTTGCTTCTGGGAGTCAAGAAGGAATCACACCATAATTCTGTAACTGAAACAATCCTCCCAAAACCAGTGAGGGGATGTGTGGCTCACAAGGTAAAGGCACTTGCCACACAACCCGATGATTGAGTTCCGTCCCTGGACCCAAGCAGTGGAAGGAGAGAATGGATGTCTACAAGTTGTCCTCTGACTTCCACATGTGAGCCATGCACCCCTCTTCCCAAAAAATGAATAAAATATTAACTTAAAAAATAAAACCAGTGTTAATATTTTGGATATAGCAATCAGCTTTAAATTCACTTTTTATAGATATTCCTATGCAACAAATGGTATATGTCTGGTGAGATGCTGCATTTTGTGGCTGGTTTGTCTTGGCAAGTGTGTCTGAACACTGTTTTAAACTTATGATAGTTGTTGCATCTCTCTGTGTGCATGCACTCCTGTGTGTAGATGCACACATGACTAATAGGAACATTACCTGATTTTGATACTTTCCTTATACTCATGTTATGGAATTATTAATAATGTTATCACTACCTGACATAATTTCGTTTTCTTTATACTCTATCTCTCTTTCTTTCTTCTTTTCTTCTTCCCTTCTTCTCTTCTTTTTGAGACAGGATCTTACTGTGAAGCCCTGAAACTTACAAGTAGACTAGGCTGGTCTTGAACTCACAGTGATCTGCTTGCCTTTGCCTCCTCAGCGCTGGGATTAAAGGCATAAACCACCATGCCTGGTTTAATAAGGCTCTTTTTAAAAGAAATGTGTATTTTGATCTTAGTTTGTGGACATAGTGATGCTTCAATGGCAATTCTTATTTTTTTTATTTTTCTTCCTTTTTTTAGAATGCTATATTTTATTTTATTTCTTTTCTTTTTAAATTTAAATTAGAAACAAGCTTCTTCTACATGTCAATCTCAGTTCCCTCTCCCTCCCCTCTTCCCCTGCCCGCTCCCCCCACCCTTTTTCCCAAACCCTTTCTGCTCCCCAGGGAGGGCGAGGCCTACCATGGGGGATCTTAAAAGTCTGTCATATTTGGAGCAGCGCCTAGATCCTCTCCAGTGTGTCTAGGCTGAGAGAGTATCCTTCTGTGTGGAGAGGGCTCCCAAAGTCCATTTGTGTACTAGGAGTAAATACTGATCCACTGCCAGTGGCCCCATAGATTGTCCAGACTCCAAAGTGGCTTTCCCCTTCAGGGGGTCTGGAGCAGTCCTATGCTGGTTTCCCAGCTATATCAGTCTCGGGTCCATGAGCAACCCCTTGTTCTGGTCAGCTGTTTTTGTGGGTTTCTCCAGCCTTGCTCGTCATTCCTCCATCTCTGCAACTGGATTTTAGAGTTCAGCTCAATGTTTTGCTGTGGATGTCTGCTTCTGCTTCCAGCAGCTACTGGATGAAAGCTCTAGGATGGCATATAATGTAGTCATCAACCTCATTATCAGAGAAGGGCATTAAGGTATCCTCTCAACCACTGCTTAGATTGTTAGTTGGGATCAAACTCAACAGATCTCTGGACCTTTCCCTAGTGCCAGAATTCTCTTTAAACCTATAATGGCTCCCTCTATGTTGGCGTCTCTTTTCTTTCTCTCCTCTGTTCTTCCCCTGACTAGATCTTCCTGTTCACTTGTTTCTTTTTAACACTGACTGCTAGGACATACAGAACAAGCATTGGATTTAGTAATATACAATCCAGAGGATTTGCTACACAGTGTTTGCTAATTGAACTCCCTTGAATCAACTACTTTTAATTCTCTCTTTGAATTAAAAAAAATTCCATAATAATGTGTGTTTTTCCTGCATGTATATCTGTGTACCACATTTATGCCTGGTCCTGAGAAGGAAGAAGAAGGTGTTAGATCCTTTGGAGCTGGAGTTACAGGTGGTTGTGAAGCGCCATGTGGATGCTGGGAATTGAACTCAGGTCCTCTGGAAGAGCATCAAGGACTCTTAATGTCTGAACCATCTCTTTGCCCTCTATATCTGTCTTTCAAAGCTCTCTCTCTCTCTCTCTCTCTCTCTCTCTCTCTCTCTCTCTCTCTCTCTCTGTGTGTGTGTGTGTGTGTGTGCACATGCATCTGCATATGTTCTTCCAGGTACCCACAGAACAGGTATTGGATTCTCTGGAGCTGAAATGTGTCTATCTGGGTGCTGAAAACCCAACTTTGGTCTTCTACAGTAGCAGCAAGAGCTCTTAACTGCAGAGTTAAGAGTTGGCCCCCCACTTACTATTTTCCTGTGTGTTTCTCAAAGATCTTCTCTTAATTCAATTTATCATGCAGTGATATATCATTCATCTTTCTGTGTCCTCTTCTGTTCAGGCAAGTTGTGAAGAGACAAGTATTGCAATAATGTTCTTTACCCTTCGGATGGAGGAAAGAGCAATATTAAGAACCAGCACATTGGGGTTGGAGACATGGTTCATTGGCTAAGAGCACTTGTTGCTCTTGAGAGCATCTACATTGTGTGGCCCCTGAATACCTTTAACTCCAGTTCTAGGGAATCCAATACCTTCTTATGGCCTCTAAAGGCACCCTCACCCATGTGTACACATGCACTCATTCATGCATGATTGTGCACACATAAAGCAGTCTACAGGCTTATGGAAAATAGTTCTTTATCTGAATTCTTCCTGCATTGCTCCACTCTACAGGAAGCTACTGTGAAATCTTACCTGTTTTCCATGATGTTTCTATAGAGTCTACACAAAATGTATATAGTGTTATTTTTGGTATGTATTTCTCCCCCCACTTTGATCTCTCAGACTCCCAATACAATTATGTAACAATCTGGTGCCAAATCTAAAGACAAAGTGACAGTGTCACAAGTGCATACACAGTTCACAGCCCAGTCAGATAGTACAGATTGTTTTTTCATATGACATTTTTGTTTTACTTGTGGTTAACGATGCCTTCAGATTTTCATTAATTTTCTGTTTGCTTATTGAAAAAAAATTTTTCTAAACATAGTAACAGATATGTCAGATCCCTGGTAGTACATATTATAAGTGCTTAAGAAGATAAGCTAAAATCAGAACCCACTCTATTTTTTTCTTTCTTTCTTCAGAATTCTTATTTAGTGTGTGATAGTCTCAGGTTAGCTGCAGTTGCGTGTCCTGGCTGGGTGTACATAAAGAATTCTCTTTGTCACTACTCAGTGTATGTGGTTTTTGTCCCTAAACATTTGACTTTCACTTTCATTTTTTTTTTTCAACACAGTCTTTCTTTTGCTAAGGCACCTCTTTTAGTATCTCCTGCGAAAAGGTGTCTAAAGAGGTTAATGTTTTGAGGTTTGGCATGTACAAAAATTTGTATATTTTCCTTCTAATCTGAACATAGATTGATATGTTTTTTTTTTTTATTTTTATTTTTGGTGTTTCCAGGCAGGTTCTCATGTTGTCCAAGCTGGTCTTGAAGTTACCACACAGAGGATGACCTTGAACTCCCAATCTTCCCATTTTCAATGCCTGACTGCTGGGATTACAGGCGTGTGGCACCACACTTGACTTGGTATAAAATCCTTACATTATGAATTTTCTCACAAATGTCAAGACGGTGCTCCACTGACTGAAAAATCAATGCTGATGCTGAGAGGCCTAATCCTTTTTATGTGTCTCCCTGCTCCGTGACCTGTAATCTATTTCTAGAGGTTTTGTACTTTATGTCTGCCTCCAGGGTCTGGAAATTTCAGGATAATCAGCACTTTCACTTCTGTTCCATTTGTACATGGGGCTCTTTCCATTCCAAGATTTGTTCTGTTGGTCCCATTCCTTTTCTTGACTTTAGTTTTCTTTTCTAGAATGTTATTCCTGGTTGATTTCCTTTTCAGTTTTTGTGTGTTTTTCTTTCTTTATGTGAAGATTTCATTTTATTATTATTTGTTTATTTATTTATTTTTATTTTATTTATTTATTTATTTATTTATTTATTTTTTTTTTTTGAGATAGGGTCTCACTATACAACAGTGCCTGGTCTGGAACTTGTTATATAGAGCAGACTGGCCTGGAACTCACGGAGTTCTATTTGTCTTTGCCTCCAGAGTGCATCACCATGCTTGGCTATGCAGTTTTTCCACTTGAACACTTCTGATTTTCTTTACTGCAATACTTAGACTAAATATTAACATGTTAAGTACAGAAAAATTTCTTTTAATATATTTCAAATGGAGAAAACCCTCCTCTGTTTCGTTTTTATAGCTTTGTTTCTCATTTTATGGGTGCAATGTTTTTACTCTTTTATAACTAAGTAAGAGCTCTTTCTTTCTTCTTTCTTTCTTTCTTTCTTTCTTTCTTTCTTGTTTTTGTGTTTGCTTTTATTTTTAATTAATTTATTTATTTTGAGACAAGTTCTCTCTGTCCTGGAACTTGCTATATAGATGAGGCTGGCCTTGATCTCACTCAAATCCACCTGCCTCTGCCTCTTGAGTGCTTGGATTAAAGACATACACCCAGCATCAAGGTTCTTTTAAAAATAAACCTTCTGGCTGGGCGTTGGTGACCCACGCCTTTAATTCCAGCACTTGGGAGGCAGAGTCAGGCGGCTCTCTGTGAGTTGGAGGCCAGCCTGGTCTACAGAGCAAATGCCAGGATAGGTTACAAAGCTACACAAAGAAACCCTGTCTCAAAAAACCAATAAACAAACAAACAAACAAACAAACAAATAAATAAATAAACAAACCTTCTGGACCAGGAAGATAGCATGTATTGCAAAGGTGTTTTCCACCAAGGTTGTTGGCCTGAGTTTGATTTTTTTATTCAAGAGGTAGGAGAAGAGGACCATCTCCCCCTCAATCTGCCTGTCTTCTAGTCTCTGGATGCTATAACATCTAAAATCTAAAACAGTTCTAGTCAACTTCCTTGTGTTTTCCACAGCCTTATTTCAGTTTTCCATGATTAAAAGGGTATTTGTTTAAATTCTTTTAAAAAATAAGTCATGATTATGATTTTTCATGACTATTCAATGATCCTCTACAGGCCTTTTTTAAAATGGTGCCACATATAGAAGCTGAACTCCCTCCTGGTGTGTGTGTGTGTGTGTGTGTGTGTGTGTGTGTGTGTGTGTGTGTGTGTAAACTGCTTACAACCCAGTGGAGTTCAGCCCAGGGACCCAAGGGAGCCTGACCTTTGGAAGTTGTGGAGTTTATGTGTACGTTTTTTCCTCTAGAAGGCTGTGGTGTGAAGTAGCTTAGGAGGTAAATGGAAAGGCTCTGTCTGATGTCTCAACCAGTTCTTCACCGTGTCTTGTGCCTCTGAGTCTGGGATGCATCTGAAATGGGCTTTGTTGCATCAGATGAAGGATGACTCCCTGGCTGCCCGCATGAAAGAGGACTGGAGTCCCCATCCTTGCCAGAGAAACTCTCAGCTAATCCATCATTCATTTCTGTGTGTCATTCTGCTAAGTGTCCCTCCCCTACCCCAGGCCTCTGTGGGGGGAAGCCCCCCTTAACCTCTTGTGCTTTTGCTTTTTCCATCTGCTGGCACCAGGTTTGTAGTCTCCTCTGCTCTGCTGGGTTCAGAAATCTGTTAAATCCTTGTCTTAAATCTTTGTCTTTTCTCCATACTTCTCCCTCATTTTAAGGATGTCACAGGAAGGAGAAATGTAAAATAAATCTAGTATACTTAGCTAGGAACCTGCTTCAAAATTCCCAGTGAATATATCAGCGCTGAAGTATAATATTAATGTAATGATGTATTGAAGTTTAATCTATATACATGTACATAAAAGCCGTGTGTGCATTTTATATGTACATATAAATGAATACATACAAATTTGTAACCACCAATATCAATACAAAGAATATAACCACTTAGCCACCAGTATCACTACACAGAGGATTTTTAATGCTCTGGAGATCTTTATGGCTCCAAGGAGTCAATTTCCCAATTCTTGGTTCCCAGCATTCTGATCTGTGTTCTGTAACTGTAGATCACAAATGTATTGTTTTTGTTTAAACAGTGATAAGAGAGATTATATGGGTTATGATATTATAAAGGATTCAAAAGCCTTTTTCTTCTATTTTTAAATTTAAATTAGGAACAAGCTTGTTTTACATGTCAATCCCAGTTCCCTCACCCTCCCCTCCTATCCTGCCCCATACTAACCCCATTTCCCATCTCCTTTCAGCTCCCCAGGGAGGGCGAGGCCTTCCATGGAGGATCTTCAAAGTCTGTCATATCATTTGGAGCAGGGCCTAGACCCTACCACATGTGTCTAGGCTGAGAGATTATCCCTCCATGTGGAGTGGGCTTCCAAAGTCCATTCGCGTGCTAGGGATAAACACTGATCTACTACCAGAGGCCCCACTTTCAGAGGGTCTGAAACAGTCCTATGCTGGTTTCCCAGCTATCAGTCTGAAGTCCATGAGCAACCCCTTGTTCTGTTTCACCAGCCTGGTCTTGACCCCTTTGCTCACCATTCCTCCCTCTCTGCAATTCGATTCCAGGAGTTCAGCTCAGTGTTTAGCTGTGGGTGTCTGCTTCTGCTTCCATCAGCTACTGGATGAAGGCTCTAGGATGGCATATAAGGCAGTCATTGATCTCATTATCAGAGAAGGGAATTTATTTTTTTCTTTATGAACTACTTTATTGGTATATAAAAAATACATATTTAATGGACACTATTTCATGAGTTGGAACATATAAAAACTCATTTGATACTTTACATCCATCAAGGAAATATACACATGTAGCATTAGTTACCTTAAGTCCATGTGTACACATATATGTTCCATGTATGTCCATGTCTATGAGTGCATTGACATGTGTATATCTTTTGAGAGCATCTGAGATCTTACAATGATTTTGAAATAAACATCATATTTATACACACCATGTAATACAAAAGATCAATGACATTTTTTTTTTTGTAAAATTCAAGAGAAGGGAATTTAAGGTAGCTTCTCCACTATTGCTTAGATTGTTAATTGGGGTCATCCTTGTAGATCTCTGGACATTTCCCTAGTGCCAGAATTCTCTTTAAACCTATAATGGCTCCCTCTATTATGGTATCCTTTTTCTTGCTCTCTATTCTTCCTCTGACTCAACCTTGCTGCTCCCTCATGTCCTCCTCTCCCCTCCTCTTCTCCCCTTCTCATCCTCCTAGCTCCCTCTCCCCTCCCCCATGCTCCCAAGTAGCTCAGGAGATCTTGTCCCGTTCCCCTTCTCTGGGGAACCTTGTATGTTTCTCTTAGGGTCCTCCTTGTTTCCTAGTTTCTCTGGCAGTATGGATTGTAGGCTGTTAATACTTTGCTCTATGTCTAAAATCCTTATATGAGTGAATACATACCATGTTTGTATTTTTGTGACTGGGTTACCTTGGTTAGGGTGGATTCTTCTAGTTCCATCCATTTGCCTGCGAATTTCAAG